CACAAGAGCTGGTGGCCGCGGCCGCCGCGGGATGCTCGCGCTGTACCCGGAGCAGGACGGAGCGAGTCCCAGGCCCTTCGAAACCGAGTGAGGTGAGCCCAGCCGGGTCCGGTCGCGCCAGCTCGGGGGGTTCAGGCGTCGGAGCGGCCGCGGGGTGCCGTGGCTCCCCGGACGCCGTCCGCGGGACGGGCGGCCGTGCCGGCATCAGCCCCGGGCTGCCTCCGGGTGGCCGGGATGCTGGGGACCCGCGCAGGTCAGTGGGGTCCAGCTCCCTTGCCGTGGCCAGGGACGCAGAGCTGGGCGAGGGAGGTTTCTGAGCTTCTCAGAATGGGATCCGGAGCCGGCGCCGCCCCTCGCCTCGCCGCCCGGCACCTGCGCAGCCCGCTCCGCAGCCCCGGCGACACGCGTGGACTTGACCGCGAGCGCGCCTTCTACCTCTGGGGTGTTTTCTCTGGGGTGGCTGTAGTTGCAGAAAGAAGCAAACACTTGAAGAGAGTTGGTTGGATTCCCTCCAGCGGTCTCAGCACGGGTAGTCCTTGGACCCAGGACAACGCCTGGGCGCTCTTTGCGAGGTGCACAGGAGCTGCCGAGTCGCCCCGGGGAGCCGGGGGCCCCCGATGCCCGGGCCCCCTCACTGCTTTGGGGGATAGGCGAGGTCAGGAGCGCGCGGGAAGGCTGCAGTAGAGCTACGGTCATGAGCCAGGACCCTGGAATTTGAGAAGAACCCTTCACACCCGTGCTGAGTTACCTAACCCCGGCTTCCTCTGTGAAATGAGCACAGTCCTCATACCTTACACTCTTACAGTGAGGACCCGAGACGGCAGTGTGTACAGAGCGCTGAGCGGGACGCCTGGGGGAAGAACAAGCATCAGCAGAGGGGAGCTGCTAGTATCGCTATTATTATTGTTATTATTACTATTATTAGAAGAGCAGCATAGCTTGTAGTTCAAGGCATGGACACCTGGGCTCGCATTCCAGTTCCGTCACTTTCTAGGGTGACCTTGGGCAAGCTACTTAACCTGCCACTGTCTGTTTCATTTGTACAGTGGGGAGAATTATGGTACCTACCTGGGAAGATCGTCGTGGGCATTAAATGCCCCATTAATACCTGTAACGCACTCGGGAGAGTGAGTGTGTGGGCCAGCTACTAATTCTCCCACGAAGGCATCCTATTTAATCAAATGGCTGCGGCCTCGCTTTGCTTTGAAGTTGAAATATTCTTTGCGCAAACGTTTGCCTGTCCCGTGATGAGCCAGGAGGGTTTTCTTCTTTCCCCTGTGGCTTTGCTGACAGTGGCAGCCGGTCCATTGGGGTCAAGGTCAGTCCTGGGGGAAGGGCTAATGGGACAGAGGGACCCTAGGAATTGTCTTCAGTGAGAAGAAGCAAGGTTGGAGATGGGATCTTCCAGAAATCTTTAATGGGGCAGGAAATCGAATCTGTGCCTAGGTTTTAAAACAAACATACTCTTGCTATACCTTTTCCCTTTTGGATTGCAGTGGGAGAGGAGGCGGGGATGGGCAATATTTTAAATGACAAAATGAATTCCATTCCTCTTGCCAAGAGGCAAACAGAATGATTTCGGGGGTCAGAGGTGGTTTCTTCCTCCCTGCAGGATCATTTACATCGGGTGGGGGGGGGCGGAGCAGGTGCCCGTCTCTGGACAGCTGACAGCTGACTCCTTTGCATTATAAACCTGAAACCTACGGGCATCATAAGTTTGAGAGCCTTCCAGCTTTGCCCCAGCTCCCAATTCTGGACCATATCCCGTGGGTTTAGGGGAAGAAAAAATAGCTCCCAAGTCTAGAATCCTGCCTGAAGACCCTGATGGGCCATGCGAAGGTCCTCGTCCCAGACACGGGCTCTTGGGGAGCGGGGGGAGATCAGGGAGGTGTGGGACCACCGAACATATCCTACTCCAAATTAGAGTACGTCCTCGTTCGCCTCTGTCACCCATGGTAGGCACGGGGGACAGAGTTTCCATACTCCTCCCCCCTCCTCGCCGGTGGTCACATTGTTGGGAAGTGGTCACGTCACCTATCCAGAGTCTGAAGACCAAATAGCTCGGCGTCCCTTCTCTTCCCTCCTGCCTTTAGTCCAGGAGCTGCTGATTCACTGCCTGGGGAGGGATGGCACCCAGCCCAGTGCCGGCCCCTTGCGGGCATGTGCCGTGGAGGGGTGGGGTGCAGAGGGCCCGCCCAGCCCTCCGCTTAAGACCCTCCACCTCCGCATCCTCATTTTCCTCTGTAATGTGGAAATAATAGCAGTACGCCTGCCTCGTGGGCTGTGGAAACATGAAATGAAGTATGTCAAGTAAGTGTATTTAGAGAGAGAGAGAGAGACTGTGTATATTTATGAGCCTAACAAGACTGATATATTCTCATCATGAGAGGATCCTAGATGTATATGTATATGATATGAATTCATCTCTAACAAATGTCATTTCACGTTGTAACTCTTCGATGATCGAGAGGCATGGGGTACACCGACGAAGGTGGTAGCGCCCTTCCCAACATTCTCCCCCCAAAAGCCGTTATTACGTCAACGTGCATTCTGTCTTAGAATCAAGGGGATACGGCACAGCCGCTGGCAACTGTTAAGTGGCCGACAGTTGTAAGCTATGGTTATGTACCGGGGGCCCTAGAAATGCTAAGGGCTTGACTGGAAAGGGAGGAAAGGATAAGGAGAAACGAAACAGAAACTTTCCCCTTCGGTAAAACCGCAGCAGGGCGGGTGGGAAGGGGCCGAATATGATCCCAGGGGGCTGTTGGGAAATTCTCTTGGCAGAGAAATTATCTGTCAGAATGGCAGGGTGCTCGTTCCATGCCAGCCCCTCAGCCGGGCAGCAGGGGGCAGGACGAGCTAGCAATGCTGCCCTCCAGGAGGGCCGGCTGATGGAGGTGACAAGGCCACACGGCACAGGGGCAGCACTCGAACCGCCGCAGAGTGTCGGAGGCGCCACAGCCTGACCCTGGCTCGCTGGGAGCGCCCCTGCCTCAGGCGCCGGGTGTACGTTTTTTCAAACCCCTCCAGTGATTCACAGGTTAAACCTCGCCCAGCCCCAACACGCCAGGCCTGGGGGCCGCCAGAGGAGGAGGCAGCTCTTTGGCAGCTGTGGTGGCCAAAAAACAAATCCCCTGGGGAAGGGGCCAAGGCCTCAGAATGCAGACCGGCCAGCCCACAGAGGGAAGAAGGAAGGCGGCCTCTGAGGGCATGTGGGCTGGCGTTGCCCAGCGCCCGGCCTCCGGGGACGGGCCGGCGGCAGGGCTGGGTGAGTGAGCTCACCTGCTTTTCTTCTCTGCCCCTCCAGCAGGCCCGCCCGCCCAAGCACCATCCTCGCCATGGCTCCCGGAGAGAAGATCAAAGCCAAAATCAAGAAGAATCTGCCCGTGACGGGGCCCCAGGCGCCCACGATCAAGGAGCTGATGCAGTGGTACTGTCTGAACACCAACACGCACGGCTGCCGCCGCATCGCGGTGTCCCGCGGCCGCCTGCGCCGCCTGCTCTGGATCCTCTTCACGCTGACCGCCGTGGCCCTGATCATCTGGCAGTGCGCCCTGCTTGTCCTGTCCTTCTACACCGTCTCCGTGTCCATCAAGGTCCACTTCCAGAAGCTGGATTTCCCCGCGGTCACCATCTGCAACATCAACCCTTACAAGTAAGAGGCGGGACCGGGGTCCTGGCCCCCCCGGGGGTCACGCCCCTCCAGACGCCAGAGCCCCTCTCGATCGCGACACTCACCCGCCCGCAGACGTGCTTCTCAGACACTTGACTCCACTGGTGAATTGCCCTCTCCCAGGTTCCGCAACGGTACCAAGTTTTCAGGCTACCCGCTGCTTCTGAGGATGGGCTGGCTCGGGGAAGGCAGGAGGCGGAGGCCGTGAGGGTCCCTTTCACTTGGATGGAGAGCGTGGGTCCGGGTGGGTTTGTCCCTGGCCGTGAGCCCCACGGTCCCGCAGGGGGAAACACCCCCAGTTGGGGTGAAACTGGAACAGACACAGCCCATCTTAACCAGAAAGCAAATGCCTTAGAAGGTGACCAGCAACTTAGGGAGGCCTCTCAGGGGACAGAAATGAGGGAAGGTGCTGGAATCCTGGTGGCGATGAGTGACGGGACGTCATTTCAGACGCTGCTGCCAGATTAAACGAGCTTTGACCATTTTGTCTTCTCGTTCATCCACCCGTAAAGGTGGCTTCACATCCCATCTTGGGACGATCTGACTGGGGTGCCCGCTGGCCCATGGAGGGTGGGCACTTTGCCAGACAGTCTCACCAGCCTGTATGCACAGGGGGGGGAAGGGAAATTCACCAAAGGCAAATCGGGGGTGTTTTTTGTTGTTTTTATACCACTTGTCTTCTTCCCATTGTCTCTCTCTGCTCTTGATGATTTTCCACATTGCTACAAAAATTACTTCCCTACAAAATGAAGCTTAATTGAATTATGTTCTTATCCAGAAACCTCATTGAACCCCTAGAACCTTCAGTAATTTGGAATAAAATTCTAACTTCTGTACTTGACAGGTAAGGGGGTTTACAATCCGGGCTGGCCCCCCCGGGGGTCACGCCCCTCCAGACGCCAGAGCCCCTCTCGATCGCGACACTCACCCGCCCGCAGACGTGCTTCTCAGACACTTGACTCCACTGGTGAATTGCCCTCTCCCAGGTTCCGCAACGGTACCAAGTTTTCAGGCTACCCGCTGCTTCTGAGGATGGGCTGGCTCGGGGAAGGCAGGAGGCGGAGGCCGTGAGGGTCCCTTTCACTTGGAGGCTGAACTGGGATGAGCTCTCTCCCCTCCCCCCCCGCAACACACGCACGCACGCACGCACGCACACACACTCACTCGGCCCAGCTTAGCCATTTCCCCTGATCGCTCCGAGCTCTCCCCAGATGCGAGCTCAAGGCTGACTCACTAGTGAGCGACACCCAGGAGACTTCCGGAGGCATCTTGGCTGCCCCAGGTCCTCACCGGAGTGAGCCCAGCCCACTAATTGAGATCACTGGACTCTGGGCGGAATCAGTCCTTGGGACAGCTCTGTCGTCTGCCGCAGGCCCTGTTCTAAGTGGGTCATCGGCGTCCTTCTCGGGAATATGGAAAGCCGGGCTGTGAGGCAGATCAGAATCTGGCGGGCTTCGTCAGAGCGGGCGTGGGGCTGGCAGAGGGCAGCGCGGGAGGAAGGACTGTCAACGGGAACCAGCCGGGCCAGTGTCGTCCGCGAGTGGGCGGCAAAGCCAGGTCTAAGACCTCCTCCGCCCCAAGGTCTTTCTTCTCTTTTCTGCTTTGTGGCCCCCGCCTCTTCCCTCCCTTCCTCCCTCCCTCCCTCTCCTCCCATCCATTACTTGTTCCATAATCATCTACAAATTGTCACACGCTGTGCTACATTCTGGGGCACAGAGCCAGACGACCCAAATGCGGCCGTCGTCCGGCTGCAGCCGGTGCCGCACCAGGAGAGTGAAAGGCTAACGGAGATGCTTAACACCAATAAAATCAATCACGGCGACCATTAAACAGATACGTAGACTCTCTGACTCTTCTCAGTAACCCCATTTTATAGATGGGGAAACTGAGGCACAGAAAGGCCAAAGGACTTGTCTGGAATGACGAGATGACACATCCGGAACCAGAATGGGGCCCTGGAGCCCAGGCTCTGGGGTGTACGTGCTCAGTCGCTACCTGTGCCGCTTACGGAGCAAGGAGGGGAGAGAGGGGAGGGCCACGGGGGAGGCCAGGGCCATGGGGTGCAGAGAAACCTGAAAGATGGTGTCGTGAGGCTTCGGGCAGTCGACCGACTACGTATCATTCTTCCGTGGCCTTGGGGTTGTCATGGTAACGGGGGGCGCCTCTTCCGTCCCAGCACTGATTGGAGGAGACTCGGAGGGCGGGGCAGGCATGTTGGGTGGGGATGGGGACTGCCCCCTGGGTGGACTCCCAGTTAGCAGTTATTTACTTGTCCTCACTGTGGCTGGTTCACGGGAGGCACCTACAGTCACCACTCAAGAAATGCTGGTTGGGGCAAACTCGTCAACACGCCCCGAGAGCAAGCAGACAGTGGTGGCAGAGGTGAAGCCACAGGAGTCACATGAGGGTCACGCGGGAGCCGTCCCCATTTGCTCGAGCCGGCGGCTGCTCGGGATAGGGCAATTCAAAAAAGATCTGCTCGTCTCCTCGGCCAAGGGGACAGGGCCGGTGGGCACTGGCCTGACGTGCGGGGGTGGACAGCAGCGTGGGGAGGTGCCAGCTCCGTGCCGGAGGGCCCCGTGCTCCCTGACCCCTCCTCCCCCTCGTGACAGGTACAGTGCCGTGAGGCCTCTGCTAGCCGACCTGGAGCAGGAGACCAGACAGGCCTTGAAGACCCTGTATGGCTTTTCGGAGGTCGGGTCGAGGACACGCCGAGAGGCCGAGCCCCGCAGTTCGGCGTGGGAGGGCACCCAGCCCAAATTCCTCAACCTGCTCCCGCTGCTGGTCTTCAGCGAGGGGGAGACCAGCAAGGCCACGGACTTCCGCACGGGGCGGAAGCGGAAAGTCAGCGGGACCATCATTCACAAGGCGGCAGACGTGGTGCACGTCCACGAGTCCAAGGAGGTGGTGGGGTTCCAGCTGGTGAGTGCACACGCTCACGGTTTGGGGGTACAGGATGAGCTGGAGAGCGTGGGTCCGGGTGGGTTTGTCCCTGGCCATGAGCCCCACAGTCCCACAGGGGGAAACACCCCCAGTTAGGGTGAACCTGCTACAAGCAACTGGAACGGACACAGCCCATCTTAACCAGAAAGCAAATGCCTTAGAAGGTGACCAGCAACTTAGGGAGGCCTCTCAGGGGACAGAAATGAGGGAAGGTGCTGGAATCCTGGTGGCGATGAGTGACGGGACGTCATCAGACGCTGCGCTGCCAGATTAAACGAGCTTTGACCATTTTGTCTTCTCGTTCATCCACCCGTAAAGGTGGCTTCACATCCCATCTTGGGACGATCTGACTGGGGTGCCCGCTGGCCCATGGAGGGTGGGCACTTTGCCAGACAGTCTCACCAGCCTGTATGCACAGGGGGGGAAGGGAAATTTCACCAAAGGCAAATCGGGGTGCACACACCAGAAGGAAGAAAATGAACGGTCGACATCAGAAACACCCAGTGTTCCCTGAATTTCTCACCTTCACGAGGGCTCCAGCCTGACTCCTGACATCTCTGCTTCTCGGTCCCATCTGAGGGGCTCGGAAGAAGCAGCCATTCACCAAAAATGAGTTCCATTACCTTCCTGGGCAAACTCATTGCGGTGTTGGGGAGGACGGTATTTTTGTCAACATTTTGTGGGTGAGACGATGAACACAGGAAGCCTCACCCAAGACCCCACGGGAAAGCAGCATCGGAGTCTGGGCTAGAATCCGGTGTCAGGCCGCAGGCGGCAGGAAGCGGTGAGGGTTGGAGAGGGACTCGGCGGTGACCATCACCCAAAGCCTGGAGGCCCGGGGACCCCAGAGAAGCTGGTTTTACTTTCCGCCGGGCAGGGAGTCCTGTCCTTCTTCTTTCGGGCCCTTCTTGGTCCTTGAGGCTTGAAGATGATGTCTCCCAGGCCCCCTCATGTGAGGAGAAGCCCCTCCTTGCCCAGGGACCCCTCCCGTTTCCCCGAGTACCTGGCCTAAAGTCTCGGCCCCTCGTCAGTACGGCCCTGCTGAAGGCCGGTGACAGGGCCGACAGCTTCAGCCTGGTGTCTCCTCCTCTTCCCAGTGTTCGAACGACACGTCCAAGTGTGCCGTCTACACCTTCAGCTCGGGGGTCAATGCCATCCAGGAGTGGTACAAGCTGCACTACATGAACATCATGGCACAGGTGCCCCTGGAGAAGAAGATCAACATGAGCTACTCGGCCAAGGAGCTGTTGGTCACCTGCTTCTTCGACGGGGTGTCCTGTGATGCCAGGTCAGGACAAGAAGGATGCTCCCTCAGCTCCCAGGACGGTGGCTCTGAGCACCAGGCCCCTCGTGAGCACCCGGAGCTCGGCCGTGGGTCTTGGGAGGGAAAGGCACCCTACTCACTGACCCTGACCTTCGGAGAATGGCTGACTCGGGAGCTAGGCTCTAGGGTGGGCAAGCGAGGTGGAGATGGCAGAGGCTCAAAATATCCTTACACTCGTCAATCGCCCGTAAAAGCAGGGTGGCGGACGGTGTCGGTAGGACCTGGTTGATGACCCCTGTGCACAGCAGCACTTGAGAGCCACTGATCTAGCATAGGGGAAGGAAGAGTGGGGGAGGGGGGGCTGCAGTGTGCTCCCCACTCTGGGACCACGGCCTGAGGTCTGGGCGTTGGAACGGGAAAATGCCGAGTGTTGGCCGAGAGCTTCAAGGGTAGGGGACTTTGGGGCACACGGTGGAATCAGGATGCAGAGGATCGGGATGGGGGGTGGGCTGCAGGCGGCTTATCAGGGGAGGGGCAGGGGAGCGAGTCAGGTGCATCGTCCGCGTCTGGAGGGCGGAGGGCGGAGGGCGGAGAGCGGAGAGCGGAGAGCGCGCCTGTGCCTGCGGCCTGCGCAGAGCCCCCTGACCCCACGGGCTCCTGTCCTCGGTAGGAACTTCACGCTTTTCCACCACCCGATGCATGGGAATTGCTACACGTTCAACAGCAAGGAGAACGAGGTGGTCCACAGCACGTCCATGGGAGGCAGCGAGTATGGTAAGCACGCCGGCACCCGGCACCCCGGAACGTGCGGCGCGGCACCCCTCCGCGGCGCTCCAGCCCTCCGGAAGCACGGGGTCTCCCCGCCGTGCTGGCCGGAACCGGGGGCGCCGCTCACCCTGCCGCGGGGCTCCCATCAGCGTCCCCCTTCCTTCTGACGTCCCTCTTCACCTCTGCGACGGCACCAGGGCCACTGCTCGTGTCCTGGGGGACCTGGAGGGACCCAGCTGGGCGGGCGGCCCCCAGGCGGACCCAAACCCAGACGCTGCCCGCACGCTTAGCGCGGCAAGCTCACCTTGGCCTTGGCGAATGTGGCAGAGACCGGAGCCCAAAGTCAGCTCTGCCATGTCCCATGTGGGCGGGTTCCAGTCCCTACGCCCGCCTGTCAGTGGGGACAGGAACAGGAGCCCTGAGTCAGGCGGCTGAGACTGAAAACGCGCAGAGCCCTGGGAGTAAGCCCGGACACACACCGGGGTCGCCTGCTAGGGCGGCCTGACAAAATGTCACAGACGGGGCCTTGGATGAGGGACACTCGTTTTCTCCCAGCTGTGGAGGCTGGAAGTCTGTGAGGAAGGTGCCGCCAAGTCGGGTGGTCGGCAAGGCCTCTTCCCGGCTCGCATCCGTCACGTGGCCCCTCCTCTGGGGCACGCGGGGAGGGAGCCTGCCCTGGCGTCTCTGCCTCTTCTTGTAGGGACCCCAGTCCTGTGAGATTGGGACTCCCTTCTTATGGCCTCATTTAAGCTTAGTTAGCCCCCTAAAGGCCCCATCTCAAAGATAGTCATGTTGGTGGTTAGGGCTTCGGCATCGGAGTTTGGAGAGAGGGGACAGGATTCAGTCCTTGGCACACATGAAGCTCACGGTAAATGCTAGTTATGGTCGTCACGGCCACGGCCATTACTAGCATGGCTGCTGTCCTCACTGCCGCCACCAGCAGTGTGCTCACTACCACCAGGCCTGTGGCAGAGGCAGGAACGCAACGGCCCGGCCTGGCTCACCCACCAAAGGCCTTCTGGAAAGGCCCTCAGCAATCTCAACGTGATAGATATACAGACACAGGAAAGGCGAGGTCTTGTCACGGAGGAAAGCCCGCCTGGACTGCTGGCCTTTGTCGCTGTGCAGTCTGGGTCCTTACCCAGTCTGCAGGAAGCCATGACACAGGGCGCATGCTTCAGCGAGAGGAAGCAGTCAGGGACCGGTTAGTGGTCTGGGACCGGTTAGCGGTCTGGGGACTGGTTAGCGGTCTGGGGACTGGTTAGCGGTCTGGGACCGGTTAGCGGTCAGGGACCAGTAGTGGTCTGGGACTGGTTAGCGGTCCGGGACTGGTTAGCGGTCTGGGGACTCATTAGCAGGTGCTCCTGGTCCGGGCTCTGCTCCCTGGGGAATGTGTGACGTCGAGCACACATCCAATTTCTGATTTTGGAAGGTCTCTCTGGCTGCTGGGTGCAGAGGAGACGCGGGGACAAGGGCGGGAGCGGGGAGGGACACTAGGCCAGCGTGGGACTCGCCATCGGTGCGTCACCCCTACCCCGGGGCTCTCCCCCACGGCTCGAGCGGCCACCATGCTGCCCATTCTGTCCCTTCGGATGCTCAGCAGAAAGCCGCATCTCGGGCAGGGCGGTGCTGCCCTTATGCTGTGCGGCACGGTGGTGGCGACACTGGTTTCGAGCCTCGGTTTTGTGCTAAGCCCTGGGGATACGGCCATGAGCCAGTCAGGCGCAACCGCTTCCTCTCCCTTGCGGAGCTTCCGGTCCAGCCCTTGTCCGCCTTTCACTTGTCAGAGATGCCTGGGTCTCGGTTTTGAGGCTCCCAAAGCAGCGGGCGGAGCGGGCGTCCCCGGGGGTCGCTGTCCTAGCCTCTGACCACAGCAGGCTGCCCTATCTGCCCAGGCCTGCAGGTCATCCTGTACATCAACGAAGAGGAGTACAACCCCTTCCTGGTGTCCTCCTCCGGGGCCAAGGTGATCGTCCATCGGCAGGACGAGTACCCCTTCATCGAGGACGTGGGCACGGAGATCGAGACGGCGATGGCCACCTCCATAGGGATGCGCCTGGTAAGAGAATGTTCTGGTTTCCGTCGACTCGGAGAGGTGCCGCTTAGGGAAGGAGCTTTGGTTTCGGAAGGCGGCGTGGGCCTGTATTCTCCCGCGGGCCACTGCAGCAGCGACGCTGAAGGCTGTCTTTGTGTCCTCCGTGTGGGTGGGCAAAGACAAGAAGGAGCTGAAGGAGCCTTCCTTGTGCCAAAGACAGACATCAGCACTGGTGGAACTTCCTGCCGGACGCGAGGAGCAGGCACTAAGTCCATATTTGTCAGGAATGTAAACAGAGTAGATTAGCACCTTTCTTCTGGGCCACCTGGAGGCTTTTGAGGCCAGGAAGCCACTGTTTAAAGGCTACTGGAAAGTCACCGGGCCGTCGAAGGTCTATGTAGCCCATCACGCTTCCGTCCGTCTCGCTTTATTTACCAAGAATCCCTTCTCCCTCGTCTCTGACGTCATTGGGCGCCGAGAACACTCACACTTCTCAACAGAAGCACATCTGGGCTGCAGACTCCAGTCCCCGAGTCAGCCATGCCCCAGGGGAGCAGAGGGCAAGGTGAAAAGCGTGCTTCTTGTTTGCACGCCTGGGGTCTTCTATGTCTCTGTCTGTCTGTCTGTCTGTCTGTCTCTCTCTCTCTCTCACACACACACACACACACACACATGACTCTCAAGAACTATTTAAAGAGTATACACGCAAAGTAGAACACCCGGACCATAGCAAGGAACTCGCTATGCAGACGTAACTCTGCTCCGTCCCTGACCTCCAGCCCCCGCCTTCCTCTCCCCGCCGTTGCTTCTGGGCTCGGCAGGGATGTCGTCACCCTCCCCGAGTGTGCGTGCACCCAGGCGGAGCATTCCTCCCCTCCCGCCCGATAGGGACCACGGGCGCCTTGTCAATCACTTAGTGCTGCGACAGGCTGCTCAGAGGCCCAGCGCCTCCCATCGCGAGGATGAGTCGTGGACGCAGTCCCGTCTCGGCAGACGGGTCGTCCCAGGCACAACCAGAAGCGGCAGCATGATGGGAGGCGTCTTTCTCCGATCGCTTTCTGGAAGTTTGTCGCACAGCGCGTGTCTGTGACGCAAGCTGTGACCTGGGCAGCAAGGCGTCAGCGTAGCCGTCTCCCCCAAACGCTCGCCAACGTGGCTATGAACCGACTTTTCCCCTTTGCCGATCTGCCAAAGAGAAAAAGGGCGTCTATTCTAATATCGACGATACTTCGTGGCATCTTTTTGCCTGTTTGGTGGTGGCACCAGGTATTCCTGACGGCCCATCAGTTCATGCCTTGGTTTCTATCCAACCTTAACGTCCCGAGTTGACCGTAGCTTTCGCGCTCACTCGCTTTGTCCGCCAGAGCGGTGATTTGCAGACCCAGTTGACCTATCGAGTCAGAGGCTGGGAGAGAGGAACCGGGATCCGTATTTTCACCAAACTCCAGTGGTTAGGTCGAGAGGCGGCCAGCCTCGGCCTTGGAAACCTGAGTGAGGGAAGAGCCATGGTGTCTCCCGAGACAAAAGCACAAGGAGAATGACGCCAAAGCGTCAGCACGGCCGCGCGCGGTGGCCTCGTGTCGGGGTTGAAGCGGCCTGGCGGGCGGTGGGCCGGCCGCCCGTCCAGCACTCGGTGGCTCGGCGGGCACTTTCCGAGCCCTCCTGTGCGCCGGGCCCCGCCTCTGTGCTTCCAGAACTTCGGGTCCAGCAGAGAGGACCGAGAGCGAATGAAAACCATCCTAAGTGCCGAGGAGGAGACAAGCAGGACGCAGGAGAGCGTGTCGGGGGGTGCCTGGCTCCGGGCTGTCCTCGTGGGCGGGAGGCCGGCGAGTTCCACGAGCGCTTTGCCGAGGGAGTGCTGCTGGCCTCGAGGCAGCGGAGGGGATGAACGGGAATGGCGATATTACGGAGGAAATGCGTGGCTTCTGTGCCTCGCGGTGTCCCGAGGACAAGAGCAGCTGTCAGGATGACGTGCTGGGGACTCGGGGGCTCAGGGAGGCACGTCACTTAGGGCCTTCATTCCGATGGCGGGCGTTTGTTGTAACATGAGGAGCAGCATCTACCCACGGGCCTGTGTGAATGCCCATCGCCCAAGAAAAAATAATCTTGAGCCCTGACCTGCTCTAACTGTGGCTTGAGCAGAGTTTACGGTGCCACCTTAGGAGCCGAGCCATCGAGTCCTCGGTTTAGTGACCTCCCAGAGCAGGATCGCGAGCATTCCGAACGAACATTTCCCGGGCAGCCGTCTCTGCGGCCTGAGGAAGGACCTGGAGCTTGCGATCCATCCTCATCTTCCTCCTTCGCCTCTTCTTCCTCTCTGCCTCTCCCGGTGTCTACACGCTGGGAGGGGTGTTTCCGCAGCTTGGAAAAGTCCAAGAACCAAGGAATTCTGCCCTCTGGTCCTCTGCTGAGAAGCACCCACCACACTGTTAAGCAAATGTTCCCTTTACCGATGGTGGGTAAACAGAGACAGAGGTGGGTTTTCTGCTACACCTAATTCGAGGTGTATGCTGCAGTCAAAGCCACAGAGCAGGGTCAGCCAGCTATAGTTTTGATTTATGATCATTTAGAACAACAAAAAATCAGGTCTTACTAAGAGGTCAGGAGGGAGTCATTAAGAATATGTCCAAACAGGCTAGACTTCCTTTCTTATTTATGTTTGCTTATTTATTTGTCGGATGGGCGTGTTAAGCTGGAAGGCTCAGTGGTTGGTCAGGCAGTTGGTTGACAGAATTTCCTTATATATTGAGGGACTTTGCGTCCAAAGCATGGGATCTTCAGAGACGAATACAACAGGATGCCCACTTGCAAAGATCTTACCTTTAAGAAGAGACGACAGAACATCTTTGCAATGTGGTTCCCAACTCTGTGAGAACAGAAATCTTCTCTGTCTTGTTCCCAGGCTTGGTTCTTAGAACACAGATCCCCAGAACATATTATGGAATGGGTGGGTGGATGGATGGATGGATGATGGATGGATGGATGGATGATGGATGGATGTGTAGTTGGATGGATGATGGGTGGATGGATGGATAGGTGGATGCATGATGGATGGATGGATGGATGGATGATGGGTGATGGATGGATGCGTAGTTGGATGGATGGATAGATGATGGATGGATGTGTAGTTGGATGGATGATGGGTGGATGGATGGATAGGTGGATGCATGATGGATGGATGGATGAATGGATGATGGATGATGGATGAATGCGTAGTTGGATGGATGGATAGATGATGGATGGGTGGATGGATGGATAGGTGGATGGATGATGGGTAGATGCAAGGAAACCAGACAGAAGCTGTGGGTGAAGGCTTTCTAGTTGACGGATTCTTGTGGGACAAGTGCCAGGCAGATGCTGTCAGGAAAGCAAAGTCCAGACAAAGGGCATAGCAGTTACAAAGTGGTCATGGAAAGGATTTTAAGCCGTGTAGTGAAATGTTTTGGAAAACCACTTTGGCTGCAGTGTAATCAAGATACTGGAGGTAGCACCTTTACGGTAATTCTGGAGAGAAATGACAAGCACGTTCGCTGAGGGGAGGAGCAGTAGCGACGGATGCGAGAGAGATTACAGCATGGAAGCAACTGGCCTCGACAACCCAGGTCAGCGAGGACTGGCCGGGTGAAGTGAGGTCGATGCTCAGGTGCAGGCTTGGGCAGTCAGGTGGCTGGAGATGCCAGGCTTGGCATCAGGGAATACCAGAGGGAGGGGGACTTTCGGGGGAGAAGATGACCGCTTACCTTTGGGACATACCCACGTCATCGTGTCTTTGGGAAGTCAGGTGAAAAAGTCCAGTAAGTGGACACTATGAGCGGGAACTCAGGAGGAAGGTGCCAGCGGGACGGGGAAGGTCGGTAACGTGACATAACTCTAGACTTAGAAATAGATGCCATCGCCTGGGGCCTGAGACAGAATGCCGTTGTCTAAGGGCGGAGCAGAAGGAAAACGGAGAAACAGGTGCTGATAAATCAGAGAAACAGGTGCTGATAAATCAAGGCAGAGAATTTCCAGGCCAGTGGGAGCCGAACAGCCAAGGGCAGCGGAGAGGTCAAGTGTGGTAAAGGTAAAGGGTGTTCTTTGGGTTTGGCAGCCGTGAGGTCATCTGCGTCCTTCGCCAGAGGAGTTTTCAGTGACACGAGTGAAACAGAAACCAAAGCACAATGGGTCGGGTCCCAGTGGGAGACGGGGAAGCAGGTGAGGGCGGACGGCTCCCCCGGGGGTGTGGGCCGGCCCCGGAGGCAGGGGGCTTCGCGGTCTCGGCAAAGCCTAGCGTTGGTTTTAATCTCAAAGCACATACACTCTTCTTTTCATAAGTGTGTGTACAGTAGGGATTAAGCGCTCAGACTCTGGAGCCAGACAGCTGGGGTTCGAGCCCCACCTTGGCCCTCTGGTTGTGTAATCTCTGGGTCTCCGTGACCTGGTCTGTAAAATGGGGCACGATAATGGCAACGTCGCTTCAGAGGCTGGGGAGACTTCAGTGAGCCGATTCGGGGGAAGCTCTTAGAATAGCACTTTGCGCGTAGTAAGTGCTCCCAAAATACTGGTTAATGTACTTTTTTTTTTTTTTTTTTAAAGAAAAGAAAGGTGAAGGGGAGGGGGAAATAAGCTCAGAGCAAAAAGAGGACCGAGGGGAGGTTTTTCTTGTCCTTCGTGACGCCCTCCTCTGTTATGAGCGAGGCATCGATCTCTCCCCTAAGTAGAAAGAGCACTGACTCTTTGCACTGCGTGTTAAAAATCTTTCCCAGTTCGTGTTTTTTATGCTACTTTCCCCACGCGGGAACATCGGATGTTGACATAGCCAAAATCCTTTTCTTCTTCAGTCATTGTGGGTATTGAGGATTTTCCCTCCTGGAGACCAGACCCTGAGCTGGGTTTCCTTCCAGTTAAGGATTTCGTTGCATTCTTACCTGCTCGAGTTTCTTTCTCTGCAGGATGGGAAGTGGCGAGAGGATTTACTTCCTCTATGTTGTTGACAAACAGTGCTCGCTCCATACGCCGAGTAATTCTTTCTTTTCTCTGTCGAC